CCACAAAATCATTTGAAAAAAAAAAAACGACATTTTGAATATTACTTTACATTCGGTTCTTAACTTGTACTACTATGAAATTAATAAATGAGCAATAACGGTGCTAACTTTTTAGTCCAAGACTGGACTAAACTAGGGAAATTTCATAGTACAAGTCTTAGGGATGGTTTACAATTTACGAGGTGATAAGATTAGTTAATCACGAGGCTAATTATTCTATTATTTATAATTCCTCCTATTTTTATTTTTAATATTTTTTTTTGTCAAATTAATGAAGATAGAGATTTGATGTTTTGAGAAAAGATGGAGAGTGAATATGAAAAGACGTAGTGATTTATTAGTTAGATGATGATAATGATGGAAAAATATGTACAAAATAGCCAAAACGACATTTATTTAACAAATGATCAATTAAGATAAGATGACAAATAATAGAAATAGTCTTTCATTTACCCAAATTAAATATGTGGTCCTATCATGTGATTCTTTTCTTCGATAATATATATGACAATAATACCATTTTTATTTCAACTTAAAAAATAGTTATTTATCCACTATAAATGTTGGGGGGCAATAAAGACTTAAATTCAAAGAACAGGGGGCAAAAATATCAACTCCCAACCTATAGCCGTAGAGTTGCAAATAAATCGAACGTTTGTTAAATTCTTGATAATCGGCGTATCAAGGGTGCGGTCCCACACAGTGAAGCGCACCATAAGAGGGTGAACCTAGTTGCACTATAGTGAGGTTTCATCCCAAAATCAATTGGTGATGGGAGAAGTAGCCCACTAAGCTTATAAACTAGACTCATTTACCCTATCAAATCGATGTGGGACGACTCACAAGTGATATTCCAACAACGTTCACAAACAAAAGCTCGTTCGTGTTCGACAAAAGCTTGTTCGTTTGTTAATCGAGCCGAGTTCGAACAGAAAATTAGACTCGTTTAAAGTTAAAATCACTTCCAACTCAACTAGCTAAAAAAGGAGCTCAAGTTTGGGCTCGAGACTTTATCGAGTCGAACTTTTAATTAAATGAGTTGATGAGAACTATGTTTGTTTATCAATATTAACGAGTAAATGTTGATTCTAACGAGTTGAACTCGAGTTCATATTTTCGAACCTTATGGAACCAGCTCGACAAGCTCACGAGCGGCTCGTTTTGGTAACGTTTCAAGTAGTAGAAATTATTTGTATTTTGATTAAACATATATGGTACCAATCATGTTTACTCATGTGGGGTTTATTTTATTTTTTTCAAGTATTAAACTTGATCTATTTGACTGACATGAAATGTAAATCACTATAAGTCAAAACAAATATTTAGTTAATGTGCATATTAATAATATAAAACTGCAATCATATGGCAATCCCAATTTCCTTCTTACCTTCCTCCAACTTGTGAGGGACTTCTGCCTATAAAAGTCTCAATACTATCTTCCTCCTAATTAAGGACCTCTGAACAAATCGTTCCATAAACAACACGAAAAAGAAAAGAGAAAAAAAAAAAAAAAAAAAACAGAGCACTCAAAGTTTTGCAACAACCTCCATGGAAATGAGTGCTCTAATGCCTAATACCTCATTGGATCTCAATACCAATCCCCACAGGATTCTTGATGACAATCTGGTACATACATATATATATATCTTTTGGACCCTTTTTCAGTTCTATTATCTGTATTTGTATTGAATCTTGCCTGGTCTTTTAGATTGCATGAATTTTGAGAGTCAACATATTGGTTGATTATTTATTAAATTTAGTTAATAATTTCAGAAACAAGAAGCTGACAGTAATTTCATCAAGTTGGGAATAAGTGCCACTGTTGAAGAAGAGGTGAGCAGCTCATTCTTGAACTGTAACAACACAAATTCTTGTTTGAAGTCGACCAATCGTTATAACAAAAATTTTATAACTTTGATTATAAAAGTATGTATATTTATTGAAAAACAGTATATTTGATTAACCAAATTGTTCATAGGTTCAAAATTCATGGACGAATCGGAATTTTTCAAAACTCGGGAGGTCTGTTTTCTAATAGT